ATAATAATAATAATAATAATAATAATAATAATAATAATAATAATAATAAAAAAAAAAAAAAAGGAAAATGCGTTAAGGAACATAGCATCTATTCTGATCTCAGCAAAAAAGAGATTAAGGAAAGCAGAAATTGTGGAAAGACTGTCTTGCAGCATCTTGTTTCTTCAGAGCCACAGCATCTGTAAAATCTTCCCAAGAAGGAGGCAACTACTGTAGGCCAGGAACTTCTGGACAATTGAACCTAGGATTGGCTTGAGCTGGACATTGCTTTTAAGACTGCTTATGGCTACTTGTTGCTACTAGCACATTGTTCCTAAAGGAATAGCTATAGCATAATTCCCAACAAGTTGAAGTTCAGTTGGAGAAAGCCATTGACTACTGTAGTTTCAAGATGAGCTTCAGACCTGAACGTTGGATTTGGTATGGCATCCTCCAGGGACTATTTTATTTAAGACAATTCTAATTGGTGTCTAATTGTTTTGGTCTTGAGATTGGCTTTTCAAATCAACATCTTTACCAAGTCCTCCTAAAGAAGATCCATTTCTAAATTTCTATATATAAAATGGTTGTAAGGTTTTCAGAGTTTTTTAAAACCAGATTTTGTTAGTCCATACTCTGCACAGGTGGAATTTCATCTATTCTTATACCTTTATTCCCTCTTTAATTTATCATCATCATCATTGTCATATGGGTTCTTGGTGTACTCTGAGCTTCATTGTTTTCCTGCAGACCAGGAAAACAAGGCTAGGTAGCATCATCAGTGTGAGTGTGGTTTGCTTATATGCAGTAGCTTGCCCTGCCAATCTTGGTTGGGATGCAGTTTCCTCCTTGATGGTTCTTCGATTAGGGTATTTTTTTTTTCCTTCATTGTCATAACATAAACCCAATGACTTATATACTTATGTGTGAGATGCCAAGATGCAAGTACAAAAGGCCAGGATTTGTCTTGTGAAGGCACAACATCTTCCTTCCTTCCCTCCTTCCTTCCTGCCTGCCTGCCTGCCTTCCACCTTACTAGGTAGACCAGACAGGAAACACATCCAGATGAGCTAATTCTACTTTATTGTAAAGCTTTAATAACAGAGTCTTGCAAGTCTGAAAGTACAATTCTCCCACCATCTCCTTTACAGTAAGAGAAACTAGGGAAGGTCCCTTCTGAGCCTCTTGTCCTGTCCACTATCCAGCTGCAGGCTATGGTCTCTCTTATCTGAACGTTCCCTAGGCAGCATTTCTTTGCCCCGTCTCTCAAGG